TAGGGGTGCTGGGTTTAGGGCTTTAGGGTTTAGCATAAGCGGGAATTGAGAGGATCGATGGGGGAGCACTACTCCTACTGTGTCTGTTGCTGCTGTTTGTACAGCGAAGGCGACAGAATGCTTTGATACCTTGAAGGTTTCACGCAGGTTGTTGTGTGCCCAGAAGAAAGAGCTGAATGCTAGAAACGAGTTGCCCAGAGAGCCCAATACCCCTTAATTAAGGAATATGGCTTAAATTATACAGGGCTTCATATTATGCTTTCAGCCATATTCCTTAATTAAGGGGTATTGGGCTCTCTGGGTGGGTGTCGTAGGCTTACAAGACCTGCAAAGAAAAGAGATTCAGATGTAGCCTCTAAACCAGCGGAAGCCAAAGACGTGACAACACATGCATGGGAGCCTTATCAACTTGTAGGTAATCAAATGGATCCTGGCACTACATGGTAACGAGATCGAGATCGAGATTCCGACACCCCGAAGTCGTCAACTCAAGATCCCAGCACCCTCCGTTGCATGGTAGGTGCATAGATGTTGTCGACGTCGTTCAGGCAACTGACGTGGTAGTACTCAGAGGGAGCACCTCCGTGCAAACAGAGCGGTGGACGATTCTTCTCAGAAAGCTACAGGTCGCTAGGCTGAGACAACGAGGAAACGGGCGCACACACGCACCCGAAAGCAACGTCATGGTCCACGTGCATCAGAGGTCTCAGGTCTCAAATCGGTGAACCCTTCGCACACTAACATGAACCCCTGACTTCCTTTATGAGGCTTACGGTTCCCGGTTCAGGATTTACGCAACCAGGGTTTGGGTCGATTTAGGGTTTACAATACTTGTAGAAGAGTAGTTTAGGGTTTAGGGTTTAGGGCTTAGGGTTTAGGGTAGAGGACCTCAGGCAAGAACAATCAGGAGACTCACTGTGGACATGCGGCAGTTCTGCGGAAGCAGCCTTTTCTCCTATCCCCGGAACCCTGTAAACTCACGGGCCTCAAGAGGTGGGATGAATGTAGGTAGGATTCAGGACCCCTTACAGAAGGACGTTTATTTGGGAGGACAAAAGTTTTGACCTACTGGACCCTTCTTGTCTTAAGACATCTTGTGGAGTAGCAGAGTACCGAAAAGTGCGATCCTGTATACTACCCCCCTTTGTTAGGCTTCTACGGGAGAATTGATCAAACTCTCGCCCTGGTGCAGTATCTCACCTACCTGCATCCCGCCTGTGGAGTCGTAAACCCTGTAAACCCTAGACCAGGAAACCAAAATCCTAAAGCCTAAACCCTAAACCGTCAACCCCTTATAGATCCCTCTTACGGAAACCCTAAATGGCAGAACTCCTAACATATTTTTCACCCCTGAATCCTTTACACCCTCGAGCCGCCTCCTGGGCCGGTTTCGGACATGTCTAGGACGAAGTTGGACGCCTGGGCATGTTGGGATTGGAATAGGGGTTCCTTTAAAGGGACCCTTAAAAGGGGTCTATAAGGGATTTAGGGATATGGGCGGCCTGGATAATTAGATCAGGGTTTCGATGTGTGTGTGTGTGTGTGGAATTCCTGTTTCTAAGGAAGAGACCTTTTGAAGACTTTTCATCTTTGAAGAACATCGGAGATAGCGAGTAATGTTGAATGCAGGGGGGCAATCTGCCCAGTCAGAGTGATTGCCCAACGAAGAGGCTCTGACTAGGCACTGAAATCAGTCTGGGACGCTGGACTGACGTACCTGCAGTGATGTCCAAAAAGAAGACATCTGCGTGACCATGTAGTCTTGAGACTACAGACGGACTTGTGTAACCCAATTCCACCTTCTGTTCTACTTGGTTTTTGAGTACTTCGTTCTAAAGAGTTGGCTGGTAGAAGAAGTTGTAGAGCATCTGAAGACATTCCAGCAATTTTGAAGCTCTGAAAACCACCTTTGTCGAAGCGGTACAGAAAGAGTGCACAATTCGAAGCGTGAAGAGAAAGATGATGATTCGAGACAACCAGCTCAGACTGGGTATGTGTGTGATTCCCGGTAGTAATTCTGCCAAAGCGCTGCCGGCCCCTCGGTCTGCGGGGGAATGATGAATACTTCCTGAGTCCCTGTCTTCTTTCTGAATAGTGGACTTCAGTCTACATCTAACGCTTAAAATTACCGAACGATGAGATGTGAATGCTCCCAGCTGATGAAAACATCCAGACGCAGAAAACATATGAAGTCTTCTGGCAGATGAACTTCGTATGCGCAAGATGAATACCTCTTGAGAATGATTGCGCTCCTAGCTGTCTACGGATTAATCTGAAGTCCACCTCTACGAATTCCCACAGTCCCGAACCTATGCGACCTGGTAATGTAACTACTGCAGAGGCGGTGTGTCAAGATTCGGGATCAGGTCGCCCGAAGAGCTCTGACACACATGTAGGATGATGTTGCCGATGTTATATCTATTGAGCGCTTTAGTCGGTGGTGTTCTTAGTAATGCGTCCTCTACATACCTTTTTGACGACGCAAAAGATGGTGTGCTGGATGATTTCTGACCGCTGAAGACATCCAAGATGCTATCACAATAAGCATGTCACTTGTTGCACCTCTAGATTTTGTGCTTTCAAATGCACATTTTGAAGACCATTCTGAAGACCTCCTGAGCCATACACGTGCGCTGAAGACATCCGGAAAGCTGACTTCTAGCGATCTGTGAATGCAGCGGATCCATGTTGTCCGCAGCTGCGTTACCAAACTTAGCTCTGTAGTGCGTCGACATGCTGTCTGCTCGCGATAGAAGTCGTACTCCACCGGCATCATCAGTGGTTTGGCGTTGGTGTTGGAAGAAGACTGAGAACAACGAAGTTTGGTACTGGGAATGGTTTCCAGTAACATTGGCTTGGCTGCAAGACCGTGCCCGTTCTCAAACAGCAACTTCTGCTGAGACTCCCGTGAGCTCTTCTGTGAGTGAGAATGCTTCACCAGTTCGCAAGCGCAAACGCAGTCGCACTCCGTAGAGCATGTTGCAGCTAATTCGTCTTTGCTGAGTTTTAGCTAATCGCTCTCAGCCTGCAAGGATCAGAGTAACTTTGCCGCAACGACAAAACATGCAGTTCGAATGCAAGCCTTTTTCGGGAGACACTTGATCCGATTGTCTCATGGCATACAGATTTTTCCGCTTGTGAAGCATGGGCTCGTCAACAAGGTTATGTTCTCATCTTCCTAGTTTCATCAACATTTACCTCACCGTTACACTTTCTCATGTGTCATCTACATAACATTACTTTGTTTTCAGTTTTGAGTGCCATGGCTCCTGTGTTCAACTTTCATTTTTACGAGACGGCAGCTGCTGCTCACAATGTTCGTACCACGGAACATCTTCGAGCTTTGTCTGATCAACCGAGACACCGTGAACGCCGTTCACGGAGTAGACGTCATCGAAGCAGGTCCTTTGAGGAGCCACCGGGACGCTGGATTGGTCCCAAAGCTGTAGAAAGATGTTCAGAGTCCGTTTCGCGGCCTTCACGTGAAGCATACAACATTCAGCAGAGCTACCCGCCTACTCAGTGGAGTGGTGCAAACTTTCGCACCCCGGAACCCCAGAATGCGGAGCCAAGTGTAACTCTGGCACTACAAGATTTACCACCGGGAGATCTACGAGCAGATAGCCCTCAGCCGCCACTTCACCATACCAGTCATCCACCCACCATCGACTTCACAAGTCTTACATCTCCATTGCCACCTCCACCGTTTCCACCACCTCCACCACCACCGCCACCACCACCAACACCAACCATCGCCACCACCACAAACACCACATTCTGCGGTAGTGCTGGACATATGCCTCGAGTGATTGCACCGACGTCTTCGGCGTTTCATTCTTCAGCCGGCAATATCACAGGTTTTCTGCAGAGAGCTTCGAATGTTAGTATACCACCGCCTAGCTCTTTGAGTACTGCGTCATCGTCCTGGGTACTGGATGACACCATAAACAACAAGAAGGGAGCGCCCAAATCCTATCCGGCGCAAGAACCGGATGAGGACGACTTGCCTTACTCCATTCGGCTTGCCAGTATGATACCGCTGAACTACGATTGGCCGGCATTGGGACAACTCCCAGCCACACAGGTTCCCAAAGGCCTCTTCTATCCTTTCGAGTTTGCAAAGCTTCGTACTATGGATCAACGCAAGCAGTTTACTCAGCAAGAGTTTGAGCGCATGCAGCAGTTTACGGAGAGTGAGTTGACACGATGGCCCCGCTGGCTTCATGAGTTACTTTCAACGTATGGCCAAGTTCATGAACATCGTGACAAAGTGGTGGATACTTCTTCTCGTGTTATGCATACGTTGGGGTACCAACCTGCTAGCCTCGTTTCATCCGGCCGCTCTTTTACGACTGCAAGCGGCAGAGTTATCTGGGCACTACGTACCAGAAACTTCCCGGGCCCTAACACCCAACGTGCTACAGGTGACACATATTATCAGTTTTACCACATGACGAGTCCGCAGGGACTCTTGGGCATACTCAAAACAGGAGTTATATTGCCCAGTGCAACTGACCGTATGGGCTTACCGCTGGACTACCCGGTCTCCGCTTTCTTTTCGTTGTTGAAGCATACGGACCAACAACAGACCGTTGAGGAGATCGTCTTGCAGTGTTCATCTCTTTTCAACCATGCGAAGCAGCAGTCTGGAGTAATGCTGAGTGGATGCATAGTCGGTGGCCACACCAGGTACCCTTGGTCTTCCACCTGGGTAGAGCTGAACTTAGCTACTCGCGCTGGCTTAGTGCGTAGCAAAGCCACCGACAAACGTTGGGCAATTCGAGTAGATCTTGCCAAGATTGAGTGGATTGTTCTTATGTCCTGAGAGCCAGAAAAGACCTCTGAGCCTCCGGAGTAGTCTCTTGTATATCTTGTAAGCAGGTTTGCTAGAATCCAAAATGCTTCTGTTTCCTTCCTTGTCCTTTTTCTTGTTGTGTTTTTGCAGTGATCTCAAGCATCGGGCCCCAGTCCTCCTTTTCAGCTGCGCGTCGTTGCTTAGCATGTCGTGGAAAACTTGGCAATCAACGTCATGGGCATCCAATTCGCACTCTTCCAACAACAACAGCTGGACCACTTCGGGATGGCAAACTCCTGAGAAGAGGAAGAGTGAATGGAGTGAGCAACAACAGTGGGACTACGGATCCCCAACTGGAGTGCCCTTTGTTGAAGGGTTGCCGGATGAGTTTAAGCCAGACAAAACTCATCTAGACACCAAGGAGATCTACGGTAAGACCATGTTGAGATGCGTAGCGGCTACAAGCTGGGCAACAAAATATCGCCTGGCAGGCCGTGAACTTGCTGATTTGCGTGTCACTGACTTAGTATGGAAGGGATGGAGAAACAACCATCTCCGCGCGTTAAGCCATGGACAATATGTTTCAGTCGTCATCGCACGCCGTGTTAGCGAGTCTGTACTTACGTCACAGTTTCTCAGTTCTGTGAGAGAAAGCCGATGGGACCTCGATGAGGTTTCTGCTGAATACTGTAGACAGAATCCAGACAAAGTCTCCATCAAGAGCTCTATGAGCTCGGACGAGGTAAAGGCAGCTAGAACTCTTGCGTTGTCCAATCATATCATTGATACGCTTCGTCCTTTTGCTGGAAGTGCTTCGGGTTCATCGTCTTTTGCAGATCAGAGTCAGCGAATTGCAGACCTTCAGGCCCAATTGGAAGCTGAAAAGGCTAAGAATTCTACTTCTAACCCTGCAGCCATGAATCAGCCTCCTGCCAAGCGCATGCGATTATGCAGTAAAACTGCTGCAATCAATGCACTGCCGATTCAAGCCCCAGTGGCAGATCCTACGCAAGAGCTTGTGGATAAGGCTTTGGATCCTGATGCCATTATCAATTCCCGAGTTTTCCATGAAATTCCTACTCAAGGGGTGGCCAAGTCGAACATCTCCAAGTGGCTGAAGAATGTTAAGTCCAAAGTGGGCCCGGAAAAGGCCCAAACCATTGAGAAAGCCTTGGAGCTATCTCAGCAGCTTCATGCACAACTGGATCCTATGGTTGTGCAACGGCTTCGTGACAAGTGTGCTCAGATCGGATTGCCGGTACAGTGGGCAACCAAGATCAAAGAGCCCGAGATTTATCAAGTTCTTATCGCAGCCACTTGTGTAGCTGACTGACTAGGCCCCATTGGCTCATGCAGTATGCCCTTTGACTGGCTTCATTCTCGCATTTATCTTGCTGCTTTAATGGCCCTTCTTCATGCTGTACAATGCTTTACTGAGCTTTTCAGCCTTCGAAGGCCCCTTCGGGTACTTAGTGCCTTCATTTGGCTACATGCAATACAGCATTCATCATCCTCTACCATTAGCATGGCCACCTGGAAAAGACGAACCAGTCGTCTTGTGGGCACCACACTGCTTCAACTCGCCAGGCTTTTTGAAGAACCGTTCGCCACCTACATCATCGTCATCCCTGCGCTGCACAAAAGACAATGGCACATGCTAGGTGTGTTGCTGGACCCTCAGAAAGTCTATGTGGGTTCTACCACTATTTCCGTCCATTCACGACAAGACGCTCGAATTCGCAAACTTCGCCTACTACAAGAGGGCAAGTTCACCAACACCGAAGTTATGGTACATTATTTCCATACTCATTCGGATTTCTTTTCTAGTCTTATTGTTCCTTTTAGTGCTTTTAGCTCCAAAACCGATGTTCGCACTGCGGAATGTATGCTGATTCATGTATGGAAACCACAACTGAATATGCCGTGGATTGCCAAACTGAATCCTACGTCGGCTACGCGCCGTTCTGTGCCACAACTGGGAACTACAACTTACTCAGCTCCAGGTCGTAGGCTTTGGCTTCGTGTGCGTCGTCGACTACGTACCCTGGGCATTTTTCGACTCTACAAGACTCAATGCCTTTCTCATAATGAGGGCTGGTCTTTTCTGGTATCTTTATCTCAGGGAGGCATGCAGTGCTACAACGCTGAACGCGTACTACGGAGTGCTCAGGTCAGCGATCTTCATTGTTTTGCTCTTTTTCGTATGACAGCATTACTTGATGATCCCCCGCGTACTGCAGTTCGTGCTATTCTGAAGAGGTGTTTACGGTTTCGTAACCTGCCCATCCCTCGCTGTTGCAAGCCCCTATGTTTGCCACTTTTGGCGCATTCGTATGCTGCCCATGTTAAAGATTGGATCCGTCGCAACACCCTGCGGTATAAAGACTACCTGATTCCATTTCATCTACCCAGCAAGACGGTTGTAGCCGGAAAGCACTGTTCTTTTCGTTCTGTATTATACAACAACCTTGCAACTGCTTCATCCTGGACTTGGGACCAACCTCCTATTTGTTCTTGCAGACAGTGGAAGCTGGAACACCCAGACCTGGAGACAGTGGATGGTCATATAGCGAGCCCAGCGTCGTTACTCAATGTTTCTGCACGTTTGAAGCGCTACCTGCAGTACTCTGCCGATTCACAAGTCTACCCCAAGAAAGCCAGTTATCTACAGGATACATGGAAAGCAGTTCAACGGTGGTGCAATCATTATGGCTTGTTCGATGTCACCTTTCAGATGTGGGCAGATTTTGTGGAGCAAGAATGGTCTCAACATCTTCAAGAGTCTTTTGCTGCGTTGAAGTATAAAGATGTTCTTTACCTTCGCAACATTCTTGACGGATTCTTTGTCCATGGTCGAGATCATGCTATCACACATACACATATCTTTTGTCCGTACTTTGCTTGGACTGTGTACAAGTCCACCTTTGGCGATACACAGGTCTATGAGCAGCTGAACATGTATGTGTCCCAAGCTAGCGTCTTCCTTCAGGAGTCAACCAAGAGATCTTTTCTCAACAAGTACAAATGGGGAATCAATCTTCGTACTAGCAGTCTTCCCATTGCGTATCTTTTATTCAAGCGCAAGAAGCAGTATCGCGTGGCTCGCCCCATTATCAGCTACAGCTTCTTTGTGTATGCTCGCTTGTTTCGAGCCACATCTATTGTCTTGGACCTACTCATCCGAGATGTATGTCCCTTATCGTTTGGACTCGCAACATTACCGCAAATGTTAGGACAGCTGACAGCCTTTATGCAACAACTACCTGATGACTTTTCTGCTGAGGTACATAATCAAGACCTTATTGGTTTCTTTACGTCCATACCTGTGCAACGAATACTGGACAGTGTTGGTGAAGTGGTTCAACGCTATGTTCGCAAACATCGTGCTGACATTACCCAGGATGTGTTCTCAGTTCGCTTGGATTTGCAAGATTCCAAGCTACGGGTATGGAAAGGTCGTCCACGCAAAGGCGCCCAGAAGACGTATTTGGTGTATCTACAAGACATTGTGGCGATCTGTCGTCTTAGTTGCGAATGCAGCGTTTTCACAGTTATGGGTAAAGTTTTTCGACAACAGCGAGGAGCAACTATAGGCAATCAAATCTCTCTTATGCTTGCGAACCTTACCGTATCGCTATTAGAACAACGTTACATGGAGGAGCACCAGCATGTCTTTCGGCGAGTACCGCATTTCTATTGCGTGCGGTATGTGGACAATAGGTTGCTTATCTGTAGTGCCGATCACTCGCATTACTCAGTCTTGCAGCACTTATTCTCGGATATGTTTTACGAGTCGCCAGTTGAGCTTGAGCAAGTCATCTCTAACGACGCCGACCAGGAATTCCTAGGCTTCGACTTCATCTCTGTTGAATCTAGACTTCACCTACTGATCAGAGACGAGCCCTGGAAAATCAGACTTCCACAAAGTGCAGGACCTCTACATCAAAAGCTTGCTGCTTTCACTTCGAAGAAACTGAGCATCCTTCGTCATGTTTGGCCTCCTGAAGATCGTGTAGATCAGCTTAGACTTCTCACACAGTTGTTTTTGAAGGCGGACTTTGACCCAGCGTTACTTCGCTAGCAAAATCTAGTGTGTGCTCATCTTGAGATGCCTTTCTGTTACCTTGGTAGTTTCGTAGTCTTTGGTTCAGCAATATGTCGCTAGATCTGCGCTTACCTGATGGCAGAGTGTTGCGACTTCCTTGGTATCCTAATGCCGTAAGTCCGGAGCCTTCAGCACTCAGCCCTCCGTCGGCATCTATGGGAACTGCAACCACGCACAACACCATCCTCGACATTTCTAGCGAAGGGGATCTTGAAGCAAGCAGCTTCTTTGATGTTTCGTCAATACGGAATCTCTTGTCAATGCAGCTGACCCTGCCTGAGCCGACCAACTCGACTGACCTCGTTGCCAGAGAAGTACTCCTACAAGATCGCGTTACTTTTGCGGATTTCGATCGTGTACTGGATACGCTACCATCCTCAGTGCTTTGGGATCGGTCCATCTTCCAACCGGATGACATCGCATGTGGCTCGGTGCCTTCTACATCTCTTCTCTCCGGCGCTTACATCCATGGTCCTCATGCTGGTCTTCATTCTGCGTTGAGGGTTTATCCCTGGCTCACCCGGTTGCTAGTTTGTGTCGCTCGGACGCAAGTCCCGAATCTTATTTTTTCATCGGTGTCCATCAATCGCAACTGTGTTGCTCGTATGCATCGTGATTCTCACAATCATGCCTTATTCAACAACCATATCATTCCTTTGTCTGTCTTTGAAGATGGACACCTTTGGATTGAGCATCCACAAGGCACCATTACCCTTAATGATGTACCGGGAAATGCTGTACCAGTTCAGCTACCGTTCCTTGCTTTTGATCCTAGGTTACGACATGCTACCTTACCCTGGCAAGGAACCCGAACAATCCTCATCGCGTTTCACATTCGTTCCGCTTGGAGACTCTCTGAAGCCGATTTAGCTTCTCTCCGAAGCTGCGGATTCACGCCTCATGTTAGCGACGTGCGTGAAGATCCATACCTGTAAAGAGACGGACAAAAGACAAACTGTCTGCCTCTGCCTCTGCCTGTTGCCTATACGTGTACAAGCCTGTTTGTAGCTTTTGCTCAAGTGTCTTGTGGCTTTTGCTTCGACTTGCCATGCAACGTGCCGATATTCTCGGGTCAGCACTGGATCCGCTTTTGCCTCTTCAGCGCTGGATACAGTACACTCAAGGCGAGTTGCAGTCTCTTCGAGCAGACTGCCGACATCAGTTTGAGCAGATTACTTCAACTGAGCGTATTCAGCAGAGTCAGCTTGACTCGTTGCAATCTCAAATCAGAGAGCTTGCTCAACAGCAAGCCCAATTTTCAGCTGAAATGACAGAGATTGCCAACACAGTGACAGATCTTTGCAGTAAGATACAGGAAACCCAGACCACGCTTAGAGGTCTTGTACAGGAGGTTCTCACACATTTCTCAACGCAGCAGCAATCAACACTGCCGGCTACACAGGTAGCCATCACGCAGCCGGATGTGCCGTAAAGAGTTTACAAAATCTACGGCTCACCTGTTTAGTAGTGTTTGTTGTAGCCAACGTTTGTGGTTCTGACTGCGGTTTCTGAATTGCAGCCGTTTGTTTTTGATCCAGCGTTTAGACAGCTGCCTCTTGCGTCCATTTACCATGAGCGATCGACAGCAAGATGTTCCCGAACAAGCAGCGTCTCCTCGTGCGTCGTCGTCGGCACAGTCCCCTCAAGACGCCGCAGCACGTCGTGAATGGTTGGCCCAGGCCCTTCTCGAAGTTTTGGAACAATCGGGCACCGACTCACCAGCATCTTCGATGACTCTCGATAGTAACTTCCGAGAGATGCTTGCACAGTTCATCGAGACGACCACCAACGAAATCAACAATCTGAAGCAACGGGTAGCAGCGCTAGAACTCCTCCATACGTAGATTGCTACTTGCGCCCTGCATCCGAATCAAAGTTAGGTGTACCATAGTACTACTCTTCGATTTCTTAGTCAACCGGCACAGACCGGGTAGGTGTGTGTGGAATTCCTGTTTCTAAGGAAGAGACCTTTTGAAGACTTTTCATCTTTGAAGAACATCGGAGATAGCGAGTAATGTTGAATGCAGGGGGGCAATCTGCCCAGTCAGAGTGATTGCCCAACGAAGAGGCTCTGACTAGGCACTGAAATCAGTCTGGGACGCTGGACTGACGTACCTGCAGTGATGTCCAAAAAGAAGACATCTGCGTGACCATGTAGTCTTGAGACTACAGACGGACTTGTGTAACCCAATTCCACCTTCTGTTCTACTTGGTTTTTGAGTACTTCGTTCTAAAGAGTTGGCTGGTAGAAGAAGTTGTAGAGCATCTGAAGACATTCCAGCAATTTTGAAGCTCTGAAAACCACCTTTGTCGAAGCGGTACAGAAAGAGTGCACAATTCGAAGCGTGAAGAGAAAGATGATGATTCGAGACAACCAGCTCAGACTGGGTATGTGTGTGTGTGTGTGCGCGCCTGTGCCAGTGCACAAAAAACTAATGTGCATGTATGTACCGACTGATTATGCTGGGGAAATCTGCAATTGATCTTCGAAGTTATGGTAGGAAGCTAGAAACGACAACCGATGCAGAACAGCGACAGCTCTTGGTTCGGTTGTCTGCAAAAACAACGTGGAGGAGGTTTAGGCTTCGGGCGTGGTGCTCACAGGGGCTCAGGGAGTAGGTGTCCAGGGTCCTAGGAAAAGTCATGCTACATCTTTACGTTAGGGACAACGACATGCCGTATCTTCCAGAAGCACCTTTGCAAACCCTGTGAACTCGAACATCAATGCTGATTTGGGTATCTTAGGGCTTATTGAGGGTTTAGGGTTTGAGGCTTTCGGGCATTAAACGTCTCACAAAGCTACGATTTGGTGTCTAGGGCTAGTGCCGATGCCTATAGACATCCCCGATGGAAACCTTTTGGTCGATTAACTAGGGATGTGTTACATGAGACCCTGTACCATGCACGGTAGTCACCCTGAATCCGAAAGAACAAATGAAGTCTACCCCATGCCCCGAAACCTAAAACCTAAACCTTAGACCCAACATTATATTTTCAAATCCGAGAACCCAAACCTTATTATAAACCCTAGACTATATCAAACCCACATCCTAAAGCCTAAACCCTGAACCCTAAATCGCTCCAAAGGGCGTAGAAGAGCACGCCCCCGAGCGTCCAAGTCAGCAGCAGCAGGCCTAGTCCGACCTGTATACTAGTTTGGGGGCTCCTTATCATTATTACTATTACTATTATTACTATTACTATTATTACTATTACTATTATTACTATTACTATTACTATTACTATTACTATTACTATTACTATTATTATTATTATTGCATCCCTAGTCCGACCTGTGACGGAGCGCAGAGTCGGCCGTCGATTATCCAGGGAACCCTCTTGTGCTTGAGGCTTCTATGCCTCAGGCCTCAGGTTTAGCGTTTTCTATTTATAATATATATATATATATATATCTCTCTCTCTCTCTCTCTCTCTCTCTCGCTCTCTCTCTCTCTCTCTCTCTCTCTCTCTCTCTCTCTCTCTCTCATTTTTGATCTTTATCTGTATACCAAAGCTGTCTTGTTCAGGCATGGACACGGGGGTGTTGGGTTCCCTACGGGTGTGGATTTCTGGTCTTTGACGCTGCTGAACTCAACAACAGTTCTAAATCGACCAACACTGAAGTTCACAAAAAGCAGACTTTCGTCGCTGCGCTGGTAAGACCTCAACCCTCAACCCGAAGAAGAAGAGTAATCATCGGATTGCCTCAAGAGACCGGCGTTTCCCCGTGGTAAAGAAGTGCGCAGTGCCGGCCGCCACGACGCTCTGAGACGCGAGAGGACTGGGTGTGTAGGGCTCAAGGTTTTGATGTTCGGTTTGAGCCTATGGTTGTTTCGTAGGGTTTGCAATTTGATGTCTGGCTTCCGAGGTGCTTACCGGGTTTAGGGTCCTGAGGTTTAGGGCTTAGGGATAAGTTATGGGCCATTTATGGGTGTTCACAGGGTTTAGGGTCTCGAGGTTCAGGATGCGTTTAGAGGGTTTCATACGTGTGCCTTGAGATTTAAGCTGACCAGGCTTCTGGTGTATGTGCTGAGTCTAGCACACGCAGTTCAAGGACTCGGTTATTACTATTACTTGTTGGGCAGAACTCCAGAATGTTAATATTTCTGTTTGCCTTCGACGATGAGGTTTGTAAAATACCTTTCTGGTTAGTTTTCTGGTTCTCAGTTGCTTGGAAAGCTTTGCGCATATGTGAATACTTCTAAGATCTATGCCATTGGGGAGTTCTTTATCAAAGCATACAGGCTCTCCATACAGCATTTTGGCGTTCTCGACGGTTGTATGCATTGACCCCAAGAGCTCGGACTTCAGGCTTCGAAAATTTTTCAGTTCAGAGCTCAAGGGGGGGGGTTAGGATTCAGGTTTGGGGTTCAGGTTTATTGGGTTCAGGGTCTAGGGTTTGGAGTTTGGTTGAGATTGGTGGGTCTTACGACTGCGAGGGAGTTTGTTCGCAGGGCTGGTAGCTGATGCGCTGTGCTGGAATCCCGAACCCAGAGTGGCAGGAGAAATCTACACATTACATACACTCAGAAGGCAGCACTGCCAAAGACTCGACTCACCACAAACTGCGCGCCCCAACAACCCCGCAACCGTGGTCCCGCCAGGACAAAGGTCACAGAGCTTCTTCCGAGCAAGGAAGCAATCCTGAAAGATTCGATGTTTTGGTGGATAACAGGAGCTCATGGGGTTCGAGCACTGTTTCAGGAGTCGCTGCTGGTGATCTTGAGATTTCCGAGTTCTGCTAACCCCAAACACCTTGTTTAGGGGCGTAGACTCAGAACCTGTTGACCGGACAAAGTTCCTTCCGACTCAGACAACTGAGGGTGCATCCTTCGGGATGGTGGCTGAGGCTTTCGTAAATCGAGCTACAAATGCTTGTGGGGGCACGGGTGAAAAATGTCTGGATTCTCCGCTGAATTTCTAGTAGTATACATGTGAAAATGTGAAAACCCATGATACTCATTGCGTCTCTCTGA